TATGTATGTATGTATGTATGTATTTATATGTGTGTGTGTGTGTGTGTGTGTGTGTGTGTGTGTGTGTGCGCGTGTGTGTTTGTGCGCTTGTATACGTTAGCGAATCTCTGCGTACATGTCTGTAAATACATGAACGTGAACGTTTACAAAAATTGAGTTAATGATTAAAACATACCACATAATACATTTTTTTAATGACGACTAATCGTTCTGTGAAGTGACACACGCATAATTATAACGACAATAAATATACAAACATGATATAATAATTGCTTCATTTTGTAACATTACATTTATTGTGTACAAATAACGTGCATGTCATGTTTAAAAAAAACATATTTCTAAAGGATTTAAATAAATGTATTCCGAGGTAATCTTAAGCTTCCTCCCGTGTGTTTATAACCAGCATTATGCACACTGAGCGGCAGAAGCGTCGAAAAAGTTAAAAACATACACACACACATTCCACCTCCAGAACTAGATTTCACTTACTCCCTACTGAAATGTTTTCAGACTCTGGGGTACAGATAATAATGCCATCAACTGATTTTTAGGTTGATTTCAGTTTTTTTTTAAAGTAGTAATTTTTTTTTAAATTGTGGGAGCTGGGAAGGGGCAGAGGGGCATTTAGAGTAAAAGAAAAACTATTTGTAGATCCCAAAACTTTAAGCAGATCGATTGTCAAAATAAACATCTTTTCTTTCTTTAGAAAACTGCGTCAAAACGGCAGGATATTTCAGATGTACAGAACTATTAGGCAAGTCTGGGCATTATGACCCCCCCCCCCAGCCTCGAAACAATACAAGAAGTTGAAACAAATTAACACCAGAATGTATTTACTTTGGTACGACCAAACCTCTATCGCGCTGTAAACAGTGATCTCCATTGCTTACTGCATTCAGTTGTGTCTCTGAATTTTGATCAACTTAATTTTTATCTGCGTATAGGGTCACTTAGGCATGAGTGTCTTTATTTAGATTCCAAGACGCAACCTTTTTTCACACGAAAAAGAACAAAACGGTAAGAGTAGAACCAATAAGAAATAATCTAGTAATAATCTTCTGTCTCAAAATAGAGAATCAATGATAATCTGGATAGTGATGTGCTATGGAAAATTCAAATCAATTACATGTACTTCAAATATAATATGAAAAGATCAATATACACGATAACAATATTGAAATAACAACAGTGCACAATTTACATGAGGAAAACAGCTGTGTACGTCTGTTCTGTGGTGTCAGTGGTTTCATCATAAACTGGATGAGTAGGCATCACACTTCTGCCGATTTAACTAGATCTAGATTAGATGTGTCTCTAAATCTGTACAGAAGAATGAATGAATCCGTAAACTCATTCTTTTTGTTCGTAAGCTCGCGTCTTGAGATTCAAGAGGGAACGAACGTGGGTATTGGATCCATTGTTTGATTGTATATATCTATTGCGCCCCTATCGACCATTGGGGGGGGGGGGGGGACTTGGTCTGACAGGGCCAACCCGAGCTGAGTGGGAGACAGCCTACCAGCGGAAAGACGTAGATACTCAATAAAATAATATTATTATGCTTCTCCGCTTGGGGATCAAACTCATGTGTCTTGTAATTGTAAGCAACAGTGACACCGCATGCGCCAGTGTAGGCAAGGAGATACACCCAGACCACCCACTACGCCTACTGCATCCGCTGACCTTTGAACTGCGTCGCGTCAGAACTATTTTGTCCAAAGTGCTCTCTATACTTTATTACACTTTGGACAAAATAGTTCTGAGGCGACGACGGGTAAACTGGCTGAATCTATAGGGAGAGTGAAAGAAACATTAAAATAAAACGTTGCAAGTATGCTCGAACACTCCCAGTTCAGGGATATACTCTAACCGACACCTGGCTGAGAGTGTTGGATGTCCGATACTCTTGGGTGGCTTAGTGTATGCTGTCGTTACTTTTCACTGAGAGAAAGCGTCTGGTTTTTTAAAAGACAAGGCTGATTTCAATGCCAGAAACAATTATGTCCACAACTATTAAAATCTCTCGTTTGATAAGATCAGATCACAAGTTGGGAGTTGCAAGAAATTGTACAGGAGACTGGTACAGATGGGATTTTTCCTGTAGTCCTCAACTTTGCAATTTCCACGAACACAAAGTTAATTGCTCTTTTACATTAAATTTTATTAAATAAGGAGGACAAAAGCACACAAAATACATACATTTCCAATCATCATCAATCCTTTGTGTTACCCCATCCCATTTTAATTCCACTCCGCCACCCTCC